TCTCCTTGTGTGCCTTCTTTCCCTGCTTATAAACATATCTAGGTCTTGAAAAACCTAAAATAAAAAAAAAATATTTGAGACCAACCCCTCTTTGAGCTTTTTTCCCTTTTTATTTTATTTTGGACAGTCTTTAAAAGGATGCTACTTTGTTTCCTTCTCTACCCAACACACTATTGAAACTGCTCTTAAAGAGTCCTAGTGACAGCACCACATTATATACACTCTTCTCTACATTCCCCTACAAAACGTTAGTGAGAGCTTAATTAGAGACTTGAACGGGGATCCCAGCCCTTTGACCAAAGAATGCTCCTCTACCCAGGAAAATCAGAGAAGGTGAAGGGAAGAAGCTGCCACCTGCCTACTCAGCCAGATGGAATGAACTAGTGACCCTGATATGGTCCTCCCACCCAAAGGCATTTTCTTAGCCCCCGTCCCTCTGCATCTTTTCCTGAATATTTGAAATTATTGACCAGATTTCCCTTACTTAAGTTTCAACCATTTTTGTATATTCCAGGATACTACAGGGTGTAGTATAAATACTACAAAATTTGGAGTCAGAAAGCTCTGAATGTGAATTCTGGTTTTGTCCCCCACTATATTGCTCAGTGATCTTACCCAAGCCATTAGCCTCTCTGAACTGATTTCATTGTCAAGTGGAATTGAGGACACCTCACTCACAGACTGATTATCACTAAGAGTTACAAAAGACTATGTTCGTGTGAACACTGGTTTATGTCTTCTTTTTATTATAAAGTTTTCAACTGCCTTAAATGGCACAACTCATTGAGCTGACTGTGCTTTAATCCACATTAACTTGCAATAGAATCAAAAGTACTGAAGAGTTACTTCTGATGCAGTGCTTACTCTCCACATACTTGAGTCTAGAGTCTTCGACACCATCTGTTTCTATGAAACACAAGAGAAATAAATGTACTAAGAAACTTTCTAGACTATGCCCAAGATTTGACTTATTTCCCTATAGTTCATGTTGAGAAATTTTTTTCTAATTCCATTTTATAATATGTAAATAAGAGGAAGAAAGATATGAAAGAACGTAATGGAAAAGTGTAACAAAAAATTTGGAGCTACCACTAAATGCCTAAGAAGGAACAAGAGTCCAGCCTAAGGAGCAGTACATTTACTCTTACCCTTCTTCAGAGAATTGCAGGCAAGAGATGTTCAGTGGCTGGTGGGGGTGGGAGGGGGGCAGTCTAAAGGGCCTTCAGGGGACCCTTACAAGCCAGAGTCCACTTTAAACACCTGCCAAATCCATGGCACGCTGATAACCTTCGTGGAAGTATGCTCTGCTAAAAGCAATGCTCCCTCCTGCTCCTCACCTTCCCCCACATTCCAGACTCCATAGGAATACGGAGGGGGAAGATCAGAACCACTAGTTTAGAAAAGCAGTTGAACACCCTTCCTCAATCTGGGACTTTCCACCTGCAATGTCCAACAATCCCAAACTGGAGAGAGAAGAAATGCTTCAACTTAAAATCAAGCTGGGAGTTTTGAAAATTATATGAGACTGGACATTACACTTACTTATCTGAGTATGTGTTTTATGTCTGGTCACTAAAAGTGACCAGAAAAGTCAAAGGACTTCTTAATTTTTCACCCAGGGGCAGGACTGTTTCAGGAAGAAAAAATCTGAGTCAACAGGAGGCAGAAATACAATTGTGTACCTGGTTCAGTAACCTCAGTTACACCCCAGCACAGCCCTTTGCTCTGCTGCCCCAAGTCCTTGCAGGCATCTCTCCTTTCACTGAGACACTAGTCCTGGGCTATTCTCCAAGCTGCAGGTGCACATTAAAATCCAAAGCTGACACAATATAGCTTAAGGTTTAAGAAGCCCACTAGGAGAGACACATGAAATGGGAAAGATGCACCGTGTGGGGACTCCAAGAGCAGGATGCTGAATTTTCATTTTGATGGTCAACACTGTAAGCCAAGGCATAGAAGAGGGATTACTATGTCCACTGTGTTGACTGCAATTTAAGGTGTAACAGAAGGAAGAATTATGGGCAGTGGGGTTAGGACAGGATTCCAGGAGAAGAAGCAAAGACAAGGGATGTTACAGCTGGCTTTAAAGACTTGTACTACCATGGTCCCCACTCTTCTATTGCCTTCCAACACCCTTTAGTGCATAATCCACATCTCTGCCCTGCCATTTCCATGCACACCTTTGTTGATAAGCGGCACTGAAATTAGCTAGAGAGAGAAAAGAACACTTTCTTTAGTTATGGCCTGAGACCTTAAAATTTTATCTCAACTTGGTTCTTCGGAGAGCAGGAGGAAATGTTACTGTAAAATTTCCATCCTCCGATAAAAGGTCAGGAAACTACAGACATGAAGGTAGCCTCCATCTCAAAAAGTGACTGGACATGGTGATTTATGGGCAGAATTCCTCAGGTGGGGGAAAGGTAACAACCCCAGCGCTGTAGACCAAAGGAAACAATGCTTTATGATCTGTTGAACAAATGATAAGTCAAATTATAGAAAACACAGAACTGCAGAGATAAAAGGACATTCCCTGGGGCCAGGAAATTGTAGAGCATTTATCCAGGAAGTTTAAAATGAGAGAATTTCCCTGAGCCCACTCCCTGTATTTATCTTTCTCATTCTCATTTTTCAGTCTTCATTTCTCATTTCCTGTATCTTATTGACATTTTCTAACAATCAATCTATATGGAGGTAAGTTATATATATATATATATATATACATAAATGTATATACATATTTATATTTATATACATATTAGTTTAAATATTTAAAAGTTATATTTGTCTCCAAATGGTGACACAGATTCAACACTTTCCATCTGAAACAAAACAAAAAAAACCCTTAATCCATAAAGCTGTAATTAACCAAAATACAGACAGCCTATCATGACAAAAATTTTACTGTTGTACCTAAGAATAAATCATTCTGTTTTTAACACTTCTTTCTGAGAAACTTCCACTTTCCACACTTTTTTTATAAAATGGGAAGCACTATTTTCCTCCTCATTAAATTTATTGTAGTTAATGAAATGAATAATGGTCACTTTCAGTTTTAAAATTCAATGTATATCAATCAATACCTGCTTTGTTAAATCACTGTCCTACATTGATTTGAAAGCTTTCATACTTACAACACAGGTAATAAGTAATAAGTTGTGCAATGATTTCTAATTTTTATTTTTATTTTATTTTTATTTTTTATTTTTTTTAAGATTTTATTTATTTATTTATTAGAGAGAGAGAGAGAAACAGTATGAGAGGGGAGAGGGTCAGAGGGAGAAGCAGGCTCCCCGCCGAGCCGGGAGCCCTATGCGGGACTTGATCCCGGGACTCCAGGATCATGACCTGAGCCGAAGGCAGTCGCTTAACCAACTGAGCCACCCAGGTGCCCTGATTTCTAATTTTTAAAGATTAGAATCTGCTTGGGATATAAGACCACTTAGCCTACCCCAAACAGTTATCCTTAAACACCATGGTTATCATTTTTCCTAAGTGCTGGCAAAAAAAAAAAAAAAAAAATTCCTTTGATTTTTAAGATTTAATCTAGTTCGGTTATTTTCATTGCTGATTATACTTTAAAATTCAACTCAAATTATTTTTTAGCCTATCTGCTAGATGCTGTACTAATGGCTTTACATGCAATACCAATGAGATTGGTCCATCTGCATATAGAATGATCCTGAGAACCACCCCCAGAACACCCTCAGCATCTTCCATCCGCACATGGAAAGGATTAAAATATGAAGTGGTGGGTGGTCCTGGGGCAGAGGCTGGGAGGGCCTGGCTGCCCCCACACAGATGCCCAGCAGCTCCTCCCAGCCTGTTTCTAAAGGGCAGGCTGAGTGGTCGGAGCAGCTGTGACAGCCCCCAGATGGTCCCCTTGCTCAGGCAGTGAAGCCCCCAAAAAGGCTAACTTACTTGCTACAAATACCCTTCTTATGTTCCCTGCTGTTAAGGCAAACACTGGTGTTTCTATGCTGAGGACTTCTTTTCCCTCATATCTAGTATCCCAGAGTTCAAGCTGACTTCTTTTACAGTTGGTCGTTCCACAACACTTAATTCCTCAGCTTCAATAAAGTGTGCTTAATGCAGTTAAGCATGCCCCTTAGAAATAGGTAAAGACTTAGAGCTTTGTTTTATTAACAAAGCTGTTGTGGGCTGAACTATGTCCCCCCCCAAAAAAAAAAAAAACACACAAAAAACCCAATATGTTTAAGTCCTAAACCCCAGTACTTCAGAATGTGACTTTATTTAGAAAGAGGCTCTTTATGGAGGTAACCAAGTTAATAGTAGGTGATTAGGGTGGGTCTTGATCCAATATGGCTGGGGTCCTCTTAAAAAGAAGAAATTTGGACACAGAGACAAACACAGAGGAAAGATGGTGTGAAGATACACAGAAAGGGCCATAAAAAGACACCAGAGAGGATTGGAGTGGTGCTCCACAAGCCAACGAATGCCAAGATTGCTGGCAAACCACCAGAGGCTAAGAAGAAGCAAGGAATGATTCTGCTACACGTTTCAGAGGGAGCATGGCCCTGGGACACCTTGTTTTCAGGCTTCCAGCCTCCAGAACTATGAAACAATTAAGTTTCCATTGTTTTAAGTCACCCAGTTTGTGTTACTTGTTACAGCAACCTTAGGAAACTAATACATTAACCAAAATTCTTTTCAGTCTCCTTTTTTGCTCCCCATTATTATTTTGTGAGTTTGACTAGTAGGAGCTGAATGGTTGTTCTGATTTTCACTTTTAGTAAATTATCTTTTCTTGGCCTCAGAGATGGAATTTAATCTTAATTCCATTGCTGCTGCAAATTAAGGTGTAAAAAGAGTTCCACTATTAAGAGATCCTCACTTCATGTTGTAGGACCTAAGGAAGTTTAGTGATAAGATCCACAGACTCTGGCTCCTACAATGCCTTGGTATTACAGCCTCAGCACAAAAGGCAATTCTCCCTCCCTCACCCTCCAAATGAACCAGAGTTTAAATGACAAAAGACTTACCATTATTTGCCTGACAAATCAGCCTCTGCCAGTACCATCTCGCATCTGCAAATCTGCTTGTCACTACATCCAGAGGAGAGCTGGGGATATCTCTAGGCTTCAGGGATGCTTCCAGCAGCAGTAAGATTCATCTCCACATTATAAGCCATGTGCCTGTAGGCATGTCAGTGTTCCCAGTTACACAAAAATCTAAGTGAATTAAAGACACAGAGCTCTGTTCCCATCCTTTCTAATAATACTAGTGAAAATGTAATAGAAAATGAAGCCAATCTTACAGCCTCTAATTATAGTGAGGTTCTTTTTTAAATTTCTGATTATTTCAATATCTTTTTCTAGGTCAAAATATTTATTGTAAGACCTCTCTCTCATAAAATGCTATCAAACCATTCATTTATTTATCTATTTATTCAACAAGCAGCTATTAATACATAAATAAACACCAACCATTTCTTAGGAGCTTACTATGTACCAGGCACGGTGCTGGGTGCTTTACCTTATCACTTTTGACTCTTCATAACAACCACATAAGGTATATACTATTAGCCCATTTATGGAGAAGAAGACTAAGTGACATTCACCTGCCCAAGGGTCCATACCCAATTTACATAGTCAATACTTGACACCAAATCTCTGACTTCATAGTCTATAATCTTAACTATTCAGCTATTCCGCCTCTATTTAGTGCTCATTAGGTGTCAGCTATTGTGCTAAGAACAAGGGAAAACAACATTTTTTTTCCCCAACAGCTATATTCCTTGTGGTCAAGGAACTGACAGTTTAGGGAGGGAAAATGATAAATAAGCATCACTTTAATATAGAGTCTGATAATCCCAGAAATAAAGTTGTTTAGGCTGCTATAGCTCATATCAAAATCTCTTAATACACAAAGCCAAAGACTCTCCCCTCTATGGTATTTATTTAAAACAAGGATCTTCAAAAGAAATATTTTAAATGAATGAAAGGAAATAAGAAAATTAAAATATGTACATATGCTGACTTGGAACTCAATCTGAAATAATCCAGAAGGCCAGCATATCTAACCCGTCTTGGCAAAACTAGGAAACAGTTATAAAGTCATAAAGATAGTGTGATAAGAGCAGCCATCCCCTTTCTCTCCTGGCCAAAGCCTCCTGGAAGAGGACACGGAGTCTGTCCTCTCTTGCCTCCCTCTCTCAGACGGATTCCAAATCCCCATCAGGAGTCCCCTTGCTGCCATCAGAGAAGAAAGCATCTGTTGTAACCCAGAACAGCACGCATTCCCAATGTTCAAGCTTTATTCAAATCTTTGCTTGTCTTTGGCCTGATTTGTTCAAGCTCCCTAAGGCTGAGGGTTCCTGCTAAATGCTGCCTTATCCAATTATCAGCCATATGCAACCTTGTGGCATTTTGCAGCTGAAGCAGACCTTAGAGATCATTCCCCTGAACCTGCTCATTACTCTGTCACCCCTTGCATTTATGCAATGAGTTTGTTCTGTTTAATTTGTATTTATACAGTTGGTGCTTTGGTAGTATACTTAAGGGTTTTTCCTCGATGCATTTTCTTTCTCAACTAAATTACAAGATCCTCAAGTATGGGGAGTGTACGGAGTATGAAGTATCTTTGTATTTATAGTTCTTTCCAATGGTTTTCATACAGTGGGTGCTCAGTAAAAGTTGTTGAGTAGACAATCCAAAATATAAAAAGTAGAATAGTCAGAAAATACATTTAGAAGATCTTTTCTTCATTTAGTTGAGCACCCCACCTATTCCCCAAAGCTTTTCTAAACTAATTAGGGCAGAATTCAAAACTGAGTTTGGACCTGGGTTACTTTATCTTATAGTCCTATGAGATCGGTTCACATTAAACATTTATCCCTGTTACTCTGAACTTTTTGGTTGCCAGTAACAGAAACCCACTAATGATTAATTAAGAAAAATAGAATGAAAAATACCAGGAGGCTACAAGGACAGGAAATAAACTGAGCTTTAGGACAGGGCCTCCGATACCATCAGAAACACCTCCCAACTTTCATCTCTGCTCCCCTTTACATATACCCTTTATTCATCTCCAGCTCCATATTTCTATCTCTCTTTCAGATAACTATATGAGGGAAAGCAAGGTGGCTAGCAGGTACTGAGCCTACATGCTGCAGGTGCACCCAATGAATTTTTTTGGCCCAATTCCAAATTTCCTAAGGAAGGGTCCCTGGTAGACCCAATTTGTGTCTTTTGTCAACCTCTGGACTATGACCAGAAACACAGGATCATGCAATATCTTGATTATTTCCATTCTAATGAGGAGAGAATTTGATAAGAGAGATTTCCCAGATGAGATCAGGTGCGTTCAGGGTGGTATGGCGTAGACACAGATGAAACCTTTGTTATTAAAAGCTGACATTTAAAAGTAAAAAAAAAAGAGAGAGATTTCCCAGAAAAAAGAAAAAAAAAAATCAGACCTAGACAGAAAAAAAAAATCAGTCAGAATCTACTGTAATTACTATGTCTATATAACCAGTTACTCAAGTTCTCTAAATTCTAAGTCAGAGAATAAAGTCCCAACAACTTATCTCTTGCACACAGATGTGCTCAAATGTTATATGATTATTTAGAAGAAGTAACAATTTAGTAAATGTGTGCAGGTGATGACAACCATATGAATGATCATAAGTTGTTCTTTTTAGGTCTTTGACTCATGTCTCAACATTTTATTCATTTATTTTCTGTCTCAACATTTTATTTAATTAATTAATTTAAGTGTCTCTAAATCCCTCTTCTAATTCAATTTCCTTCTTTACCTTCTGAAATTAGTTGATTGCTTAAGGGATAATTTGACTTTCTTCTAGAATCATAAAGATAAAGTCTAATCCTAGGAGAATTACTAAGTCCTCTAGAGAATTAGAGAATTTCAGTGGTGTAGATGCAGCCAGAGAGCAAGATTCATAAATTTCTGTCATGCTGTAACTTATAGGAACAACCACTGTGATATTTTCAAGGCCCCATGAGCTAAGAGTTATATAGAGCCCCATGAAAATACCCCAACAACCTAACGACCAAGTCCAGGCAAATTCTAGGAATTTTCCTCAACCACATATTTAACATAACAAATTCCACAAAGTAGCCTAGAGAGAAAATGACAAGTATACAAGACCCAATGTTCTTTGAGTGTAGAAAATTCTAGCATGAGAAACTATTTTTTGTGAGACCAGGATAATATATATGCAGGAACCAGCTAAATGTAACTGAATGAGTGTTCTGAAGCAAGACATTCACTGTGAATAATGTGCCCAAAACCTCAGGGTTCCAAATCTTCCTTCCCTACAGAGACTTGTATTTGCCCATTCATTATTTGGAGCAGAGATGACTGACTGTAGGACCCTCAAATCATGCATAATATAAAGAGACTTATTTCCCTCGGGCTTCCAGATTGTCAGGCGAGGCCATCCAGGGCATGATGGCATTAAAATCCAAATAGTCACTGAACAACAAAATGTATTACAATTTGATCCAGTCCAGGCCAGTCAAGGTCTCATTATACAGGCCCTCAGGGCTGAGAAGAGGCAGGAGAACAATGATGAAAATGTACGTTGCCATGGTGTCCCTGCTGCATCCCCTGGTTTCACAGGGGTGGAACTGAGTCCCTTTGAACTAATTTGGTGGCAAGCATCTTCTTGAATGATTCTACATCCCACACTGATCATCATAAATTCTTCAGGTTTCCTAAGTGATCTTTTCCCAATCCCAAAATGGACTTGCTTATTGTAGCTGAGAGAGAAAAGCAATTTTACCATGAAGTATATGCAGTTTTTGCCATACGGGATTATTAAGAGAGAAAAGAGAGCATAATCAGGAGCAGAGTGACACATTGGGAATAAGATCAGGGTTCTCATCCTAGCTCTGTTACCAAATCCCAGGGTCACTTTCAGAAAAAGCCTAAATTCGCTGAACCCTCACTTTCTTTATCTTATCTAAGATGTACTTGAAGTAGAACTATTGGGGTGCCTGGGTGGCTCAGTCAGTTGAGCGTCTGACTCTTGGTTTCGGCTCAGATCATGATTTCAGGGTCCTGGGATCAAGCCCTGCGTATCAAGCTCTGAGCACAGTAGGGAGTCTGCTTGAGATTCTCCCTCTCCCTTTGCACCTACCCACCCCCACACACTCTCTCTCTCTCTCAAATAAAAACTTAAAAAAAAAAAAGAGGCACAACTATTTTATTTATGACCAAGAAAGGAAAAACACAACCGTTTATGACTGCAATATGCCATGGATTAAAAATGCATCCTGATTGCAGAGATGTTAAAATATGAAAAACATATTTTAGAATCAGTGATAAATGTATAATTGAGGGGTGGAGGTTTAGCAAAATAGTTACTTCTGAAAGTGGTCCTCTCCGGTTGCTTGCTCTTTTCAAGAAATGACTATGGGAATTGTTGACTTCCCTTCTCTCTGCAGCTGCACTTAAGCAGTTGAAAATAGCTGCAGAAAGGAGAGGAGCAGGGCTTTTAGGGAAAATGCACTTCTGTCGGGTAGTTGTAGAGTGTCTCTGAATCACTTAGGCATTGGAAAGTTAAATTCCTTGCCTGTTTTAAACAAAAGCCAAAGTCAGGGATTTGCCAAAGGTCAGCTCTTGCTCCCTGCTGACCACCCAACTTTCAAAGCACTTGTCCTCATCACACTGGAATCACCTCACTTCCAACATCTGCATTAGTTACCTCTTCCTTCCCCCTCACCCTCTCTCCCTTCCCCTTTTCTTTCCTTTTCCTTCCTTTTCCCCAGCTGTCAATATTTATTAAGCACATACTCTGTGTTTAATAAATCACATATAAATAAATAATAGGCACCATGTGACCTGTCTTCAAGCAACACACTCATCTTGAGTGAAAGGCAGCAACACTTGAAATGCAGTGGGATCAGGTAAGCCTTTCCCAGGAGGTGACATGAAAATTGAGACCTGAAGCATTATTAGGAGAGTGTCAATTCATACAATAGATCGCATCAGAGCAGAGAATTGAGTGCTCTGGTTAACGAAATTCTGGTTAACTGAACTCAAAAACATTTGACTTGCACGCTTTCTACTTTCTCCCATAATCTAAGCTGATTTTAACTCCTGTCCAGATCACTTTTTACACTAGCCAATCAGTAGCCTCTCTTCCACCCTATCAATCCTGCTCCCTTGT